TTGGTGAGCTGCTCTCACAAAAAGATAGAGAGGTCTGTTTTACTCACAGAGACCTATGTATCTGCCCTTCTCAGGACTTTAATGTTTCAAATCACAGTACTATCCCAGATGTCAAACTAAATGGAGGTTTAAAAATAAAAAACAAAACTCAACTGGTGTTCATTTTACTTTTCAATTTTCTATCCAGATTTTGAACCTAATGCTGGAAACTGAAAGATAAGAACACATACCACTTGTGAGGTTCAGAATTTTGCAGAAACAGACCCATAAGTCTTTCTGTGATCTGTCCCACCAATACTTCTGAGCATATGCTATGCCTCATGTGATTAAAAGTAAGCACAGGTGTAAGTTTTTGGAGGACTGGCATCCATATATCCTTGTTTTAGGATTTGATCCTGCTACTTGGTGATTGTCTCCTAACTCAAATAGGAACTAGGGATGTGAAAAATGAATAAAAATACTAACTGCATAACTGATAACCGTTACACAGTTAACCGCTTCCAGGGCTGGCCACAGACGCAGGGCTTCCAGTCCTGTGGAGCTGCTGGGGTTCTGGGCTCTGTGATTTTGCTGGCGCTCATGGCCCCATGGAGCCAGCACACCCTTCATCTTTGGCATCCTTTAGGAGTTTGAGGCTATGTCTGCACTGGCGGGTTCGTATGCCAGAAATATGCAAATGAGGCTAAGCGTGGAATATCGCTGAGCCTCATTTGCATATCTAATGAGCCGCCATTTTGCGGAAGAAGCTCTTGCACCAGAGGGAGCGTCTACACTGCCCCTTCTTGCACAAGAAAAACCCTCTTGCGCAATGCCGTTATTCCTGAAAATAATCAGCATAGTGTATCAGTTAACTGGTTTAATTCTTTCATCCGTAATGGGAACTGATGACATTGAGCAATTAGCAGGAATCACTCGGGGACAGATTTCTGAGGGTATTTAGGGTATTCAGAAAGGCACCCAGTAAGATTTTTAAAACTATGGAGAGGCCATTAGATGCCTATCTGCATCTTTAGGCACCTAAATAATTTTACAGATACTTTCAGTAGGATGTAGTCTTGCTCTCATTTGATGACAATGTAAAAATTACTGACACATTTTTGTTAATAGTGCCTCAAAGTAGGCCATTTAAAATCTGAACTGTACCCCTTACTCATGTGAGTAGCCCAAAATAGCCTCCTTTCAATTGAACTATTTTTATGAATAATGATTACTCATGTAAGGAAGTCTTGGAGAAACACATCCTTAATTATGTTGTACATAAAGAAGACTAACATCTATTTCTCAGTATACCAAAGCCCAATATGGGGACACCATGTAATTAGATACAGAAGAAAAATAACAGCTTAGCAAACTTTGAATGATGTGGGATTGCTTTCTTGGACTTCAGTAGTATTTGTTTTATAACCTGTGTCAGAGAGAGAGCATTTTTTATGTAAATAATTACAGCAATAAAAATATAGGTCAAAGGTCTAAAATGAAGCTTATCAAACAGGACTTTGAGCAATTGACAAGTTACTTTATTACTAAAGAGAGAACAAAACCAACCCATATAAAAATGCTATGGTTATAGTGCAAAATGTAATAAATGAATTTTCCTTTGATGTCATATTTTGGGTTATTTCTTTAGAGTATCTTTAAGAAAAGAAGAAAACCAATCTTAAATGCACATGGGTAGGGTTGCTAATGGAAAGACTCAGCCTCCCAATAGGTGCCTGGCACCCAATTACGAACATCTGGAATTTTCTGTTCTATGTTGGTCTAGATGCGATGCAAATGGGTAACTGGTTCACTGGTTATCTGGTAAGCATCCCCCTTACTGGGTGATATTTACAGGAACTAGTTAACCAGTGCCTGACCCAGCTGGAGCAGACCCCCTGCCCGTGACATGATGCTGTGGGCTGGTTAATCACTTAAACATTTTGAACATGATTTTACATATCTCTGTGGTCTACATCCTTAGGTCTCTGTACCAACCCATCACTCTTCAAGTGCACCAGGCATTCTATAGTACTATGCCAGAACAATGTCTAGATCAGTAAAAGCATGGAAGCAAATGAGGCATAAAAGTAATTCATAGACAGTACACAAGTTTCCTTCTTTTCCGCAGGATAAAAGATGTTGCAACAGTTTATTTTTATAACTTTGTAGTTTTGGTAGCAAAAGCCTTTCAATAGTTGAAGAAAAGTGAATGCATGTCCTTGTGTTGAGAGCATAAATATAAAACTGTGAATCTGTGGAATGTGGGATTGAGGAATAGGGCACTCCGTGAGCTGTACAGTCTGGGTATGTGGCTATCACCTACCTAGAGCAACAAGAAGGGTGATATATTTTTTTTACTGGACCAACATCTGGTGGTGGGACTGAAGAAGAACTCTGTACCTCAAGCTTGTACCTCTCTTACCAACATAAATTGGTCTAATAAAATATTAGCTCACCCACCTTCTCTCTCTAATATCCTGGGATTACAGGGTTACACCACCACTGCATATATGGTATTTAATTACACCATTCCCATTATCCTCTTTGCAATGTTATGTAGTGTGAAGCTAATGCCTCCTTCAGTCTCCACTCCGTGGGCTGAACAGTGTTAGGTTGTTGTGCTGGACAGAGTAGCAACAAAGAGGCACAGATGAAGGGGTGACTGGGGAGGCAAGGGGTACAGAGAGGACCACCCAGGGAGGTATGTGGAGGCACCCTATCTAGTAATAAAAATGTTGGCGTGGGCCTACGGGGGTGGTCCACCTCCCTAGTGCTCAGGAGTTACCAATGCACAGCTGTAACTAGAAGCCGGATGTGAAACCTGTAGAACGCTGTGTAACTACTGGGTGATGCTGCTTTTTGCTCAGAGTGATGGTGAATTTGGAAGTCTCTGCTATTTTTCCTATTGCCTCAGTAAAAATTGCTAGGCGAGTGTCTGTGTCCCTCACTGATGTGAAGCCGTGGACTGTAGCAACTAAAGCCAAACCGCTCTGCTATCGAATCTCTCCTATTTCTGCTGGACAAAGAAACTTAAGAAAGCCGAATATTTTTTTTTAAATTGCTCCTCTTCAATAGCGAAGGCAGGAAAAAGCACCCGCCTCCGGTATCTACCTGCTAGAAGCATCATTCCAAACCGGGCATGTTTTACATGCAGCCTTCACGATAGCGGTGACTGCCCATCCGAACCATATGGGGGGGGGGGGAGTCGGTCCTGGGAAGGGGAAAAACCCCTTCGAATCCTGAAATTAACAAATCGCCTCGCTGTCCCCTCCCCGAGCGCTCGCGACTCTCGCTCCAAACAGGGCAGCCAGTCAGTCCCCTTCAAATGAAAATTACGCCAGCTCCAGTGGCGTGTAAAATTGATGTGAGCTGAAAGAAGTGGGATCAGCGCGATCCTCCCTCTCTTGTCTCAACAGGGGTCCCTGCACGTTACACAAGGCCGAGCTTGTCTCTTTAAGGAGACATTGGCCCCTAATTAGTCCGCATTCCTCCTGGTGCGGGTGATATAGCAGCCGTGAGTGACGGGGAGGGGGGAGCACAGAGGCAGAGCGCATCCTTTTCCCCCTCCAAACCTCCTCTCCTGCCACCACCCAGAGCACAAGATACAAGCAGCAGCAGCAGCAGCCCCAGTCACCCCACGTTACTTTGATTGACAGCTGAACAAATGTTTCCCCTGTTCGAACGCCGGCGCTATGGAACGTCAGCGATCTCAAAGCTCCACCTCGGGCAGGGGGAAGGAACTAGGAAACGGGGGTGTGGCCCATTGGATAAAACAGCATGATTGGCTGCCACGAGAAGCGACGTCTGTCCCCCACGTGGGGGCTCGGTTCTGAGCCCCACCCCCTCCTCAGACCCGCACGCCCATTTGTCAGCAGCGAAATGATGGGCATTAATACAGAACGGCGATTAATGTGTAGCCGCTGCTGATTGGTCGCCGGCAACGCCCTTCATGGGCGGAGCAGAACGAGGGGTAGACCCGGGGAGGGGGCTAGGAAAGGAGGGCTCGCTTTGCCTCATGGTCGTTGGAGTTTTTTTGACTGCAATTTGCAATGTAGCGGGGGGGCAAGGCCACGGAAATGAAACTACAATTCCCAGGAAAACTCGCAGCCCCCTTGTCTTCCGATTGTTGTGAATATGTATCAGAATGTTAATGATTTGCCGCTGCTAAATTTGGTCAAAGAAGTCACCTCACCGGAGCTTGTAGTTAGAGCTGCTCGGAGCGGCGTTGGTGAGGTGGCTGTCGCGGCTGCTGCTGGCTTTGGTGATCTTGTTCTGAGTTGCAAGAGTTTGCGAGGCGAGGAGGGAAGGAGAGAAGACCAATGAACCAGACCGCGTTTCTTCACCCTGCCGCGCTGTAAAAAAAAAAAAAAAAAAGGCGGAAAGGGGGGGGGGTTGCTGCGACCTGTGAATGGGAAAGAGGAGAAACATCACAACAAAAGGTTACTGCACTTGAACCTTTGAAAAGAAGCGACTATTTGCGAGGCGGAGAAAAGCCAGGAGCAAAACCACCAGCAGCTTTTCCCCACTAGGAGTTTTTTTCCTCCCTACAAAGGAAAGGAGCGGGTTGCCTTTTTTTTTTGACAGGATAACAATTGAGACCCATAAAAGTTTGCAGCCGGAAGAAGCAGCGAGAGGGGGTGTTCTGGGGGGGTGATTCGGAAACTGGGGCGAGTGGAGTTTTCTCTTCTTCCGTTCTTGCCCCTCCACCGGGACTGGATCGGTTGGCGGGGAAGGAGAGACCCCCCTGGAGCTGTGGGGCGCTAGGGGGCGGGGGACGGGCCCCCCGCCGAGTGTCCCTCCTCTTGTGTATTCACGCGAGTCCCGAGGGCGGGGGGGTTCGGGGGCAGCCGGAGACGCTCCTTCGAGCGCTAGCGCCGGGCAGCCCTTTCCTCCTGCTCCTCCTTTGCATTGTTGCCATTAAACTCAATGAACCAAGCTGCTCTGGCCAAAAGCACAAACTAAATCGGTTTGGATGATTCGCGATCTGAGCAAGATGTATCCTCAAACCAGACACCCGAGTCCCGAGGGCGGGGGGGTTCGGGGGCAGCCGGAGACGCTCCTTCGAGCGCTAGCGCCGGGCAGCCCTTTCCTCCTGCTCCTCCTTTGCATTGTTGCCATTAAACTCAATGAACCAAGCTGCTCTGGCCAAAAGCACAAACTAAATCGGTTTGGATGATTCGCGATCTGAGCAAGATGTATCCTCAAACCAGACACCCGGTGAGTAGAGGCAAGGCAGGGGGGGGGGGGAGGACTTGTATGTGGCTCTTGGTTTGTTTCCCCCCCCTCCCTCCCCTAAGCCTGGGTCCCCGAGAGAGAGGGCTGGGACCAGGAACAATCGGCACAATACACCCGCCTTTCTCCTGCTGTCCGCTTGCCTCCTGCTTGGAGAAAGCAAACGCAAAAAAGGGGGGAGAGGGGGGAGAAACAATTGAGTTGTAGCCATTTTCTTATTGTTGTCTTTGGCTTTTCAGGCTCTCCAGTGTAGCGATTTCGCCGCTTGTAGTTGCGATCGCTCAGAGCTTTAAAAGAGTCAAAGGCAAACTAAAGACAGAAGGAGGGAGCGAGGGTTCCAGGTCTTAATCTGATTCGTATTATCCCCAAAGTATATTCCTGCTCTAGCAGCTCCCACGGAGCGACCTGTGATTCCCTCCCTTCCCCTCCTGCCTCGTCTCTTTTTCTTGCCCTCTGTCTTCCCTTCACAGTCACCCCAGTTTAGCAGTAGGGTCCCTGACCCCCTTGCCCACTTCACAAGCCTGGCAGTCTGATTACGGGTTGGTGGGTGCTGTTGGGGACGCGGATGAAACGGACATGACCCTGCCTCCCTCTATTCGAGATCTGTAAAGGAGCGTATAAGCCTGGAGCAGGCTTGTGTATGTATGCGCGTAAAGGGCGAGGGACTTTTATGTTTCAAAGAGGAAACGCTGGTGTGTGCGTGTGTATGTAAAGTACGTGAGTTTTAACAGCCTTCGTCCTTACTGCTGTGGGTGAGCCAGCCCCCTTGCACACACTGGGCTGGGCATGTTTGTGTGTCTGCGTGTCTGGGACTGGCTTAGATAGGGCATAATTAAAACCTTTGATAACGATCATTATTTTTAGGCACCGCATCAGCCTGCTCAACCCTTCAAATTCACCATTTCCGAATCCTGCGATCGGATTAAGGAGGAGTTTCAGTTTTTACAGGCTCAGTACCACAGGTAATGATGTTTACTTTCCTTGATCCTCGTGTTTGCTTAGCTCTTGTCACTCTTTTTTTGTTTTGTTTGCAAAGGCATGAACGTGTGTGGATTGCTTTTGGTGTCTTATGGGTTGGGTTTTTTTGTTTGTTTGTTGTTTCCTCCCAAGCAGAAATGTCACTTCCCAGCCCTGCTAGACCAGTGTCTGGAAAGCAACATTTTCTTCTCTCGAATATTGCAGAAGCTGTCTTGAGCTGCGATCATTTGGACAAGGGGGATTTCAAAATATTGTGACTGAGATTTCAAATGTCTCATTGAAACATATGGTTAAAATAATCTCTCAAAGCCTCTTAAACTGAGAATTCATCTAAAATGTGGGAGTCTCTGAGTGAGACTTGTCTGGTTGGACATTCAGGCATAAATAACAGGTCTGCAGTTGTGAGGATAAAGCCATTAAGAAAACACTTTGAAGCAGGGAGCTCAGAAGAATCGAATGTCAAATATTGGAAATAGATCTATTTTTTTTCCTGTTTTTTGGAGGGGGGGAAGAGGGGAGGGAGGTGGCATGGGGTTGTGGATCAAGGGCTGTGATTTGATTGCTTGTGGTATCCTCTTCTCTTGACCCAGCCCCTTCCAGCTTTCCACTGAAATGTCAAGTGCTGATAACCTAGAAGCATAGTTGGTGAGCTATTCAATAAGCTTTATGGTAAAGAGCATTTTATTCTTCAAGTGAGGAACCACTTACCACAAGATTGTTTTGTGCACATTTGAAAACAAAACTGCCATGGAAGGTTTTGATGTTTGCTTACCTTGTCAATGAAATAATGTGCAGAATTTTCTTTACAGTTTCATCAACAGAAAAACACACACACACAATAACACTGCTTTGTCCTTTAAAAAGACATCATTCCTCGAACCTGATTTTTTTTTAAATCAAAGCGTCAAATTATGTGTTTGTAGGTGATTTTTTAAAAATGTTTTTTAATATTCTAGATACTGATCTCAATGAGAAACATTTTCTATGAGCCAGTCTACTTTTTTTTCAGAGTAATATATATTTTGGATATAAATTCTGTATATTTGGCCCATTAGAGGAGTATATTATACAATACTTGTTGAAAAGGGAAACTAACAAGACTCCACCCACAAACAATAGCTTGGACTTACATTTTTATTTATATTTTGCAGAAGATGACAGGAAAGGGAAGTAAATGTGTGTCCAGAAGGATATAAAAGTAGTACTCATCATTTTTTTTTTTTTTTAATGTTTGAACAGTTTAAAGCTGGAATGTGAGAAACTGGCTAGTGAGAAGACAGAGATGCAGCGACATTATGTCATGGTAAGCAAGCCGCATAAATTCAAAATGTGTATTATCTTTGTGTACGAAAACAAAAATACATTCAGATTATGATAGTAACAGTGCTATAAATGTGGTTGCACCAGTCTCTCCATTGTATACTTCACTTTTAGAGGTTTATTACCTGCGTACACAGTCTTATTTTCCTAAATTTGTCAACGTTTTTAGATGTATTTTGAAAAAAAAATCCAATATTAATAGGAAGGCAGTTAGTCTCTTAAAGATACCCCCAAATTAATAGGCATCTCTTTTCGTTGCTTTTATTTTCTTTTACTGCTTTCCCCTTTGCCATTTTGTCCAGATGTTTTGTTTTGTTTTATTATTTATTTATGTATTTATTTAATAAAGGGATGGAACCAAGAATTTCAGAAGCCTTAGGTCTCTGAAAAAGTATTGCTTGTGAGCTGCAGGTCCATACAGTCAGAGAACTGAGCTGGAAAAATAATTTAGTAATTGTTCATATGGGTAAATAACTTGAGTATAAAGAAGTCTCTAAATACATAACTGTGTGATGCATTATGACTACTGCAACGGAGCTGTTTCTATCTGCTCTCTTGTACATCTAAGGGAATAATTGATTTCCATGTGTGTGATCTATAACACAAATATTTACAAAAAGAGTAAATAACTTAAGTGTATCCAAAGCATAAACCTTTAATTAATCTCACATTCTGTCCTTCCCATACCTGATGATGAGTGTAGGTACGGAGCGCATATGTCACACATTGAACTGAGCTCTCTGCAATTCTAAGACATAACAGGACACATTACAGTTGGAATGTCTGCTTTAACTCTGAATTTTCTTGCAAATGTTCTATTAAATTTTAGCTTCTTGTGTTTTTTAAATTTAAAATATTGAATAAAGAGTGCACAGTTTTGCTGATTTATGTTCATGTCTGGTTTCTAGCACTTCAGGCGTTTTTTTGCATCTTTAGTGTATAGTAGAGAACAAAATTGAGAGTATTTTCCATATATTTTCATGATTTCTCATGTTTGACTCCAATTGTCAGGTGTGTTCAGTGTTGTGTTCGCTTCTCGGCCTTATGGCTAAGATCATGTGCTGGCTATATTTTTTTTTTTTTTAAATGTGGCTGGTTCCTTGTAAATTTGACATGGGGCAAAGTAGCAGTAAAAACAGATGCAAGGGACAAGATGCTGTGAAATTCCCATTCTAATTTTGGGAGATTACAAATACTAGTAAATCTTTGTTAGGTATATAATATGCCATTATATCTGCTGTGAGATTAAAACTGAATATTGGAAGCATTTGCATTATTATGAGGACTAACAGAATCACATTCTCCTTTTTTCTCCTTAGTATTATGAGATGTCCTATGGGTTGAATATAGAGATGCATAAACAGGTAGGCAAACATTTCACTTGGTAAGAAAGTTGGATATAATTCCTCAGTCTAATTTTAAAGTGTTCTGTGACTTTTGTTCAATTGCACGTTTAAGTGGCTGAACGTGTGTGTGTGTGCACACACACTGTGGTGCTCTGATACTTCCCTAATGGATTTAGTATACGAATTTAGAGAATTACTGTGTCTGTATTCCCACATGAGTAAGAAACCTGATTCTGTCTCTTACACACACCCCTCCCTCACTGCCAGCTTACAAAAATAGTCCCATTTTACTACAGTGAGACTGTGCATGAGGAAGGATTTGTGAGTAGGACTTGTTAATCTTTTATGTTAGGCATATTTATATCTTTTGGAGCCAGAGTTATATTCTGAACACTAGGCATCAAGGCAAAAAGCTGTATAGTCAATGCATGGAAAAGATACTGCTGTCTTTCAATAGTTAAACTGGAAGGAGAGGAAATTAAAATCGGTCGACACAAGAAATTGATGCAAACCACATACTTGTCCCTTGAGACTATTTAATAGGCCTTTTGTACAGAATTTGTGTCCATTAGTTCCCCAAACTCTACTGGGTAAATGAGTTTTCTAGGAGGATGTGATAAGGGTCAACTCTGTGCCTTGAAGTCTGACAGCTAGGCAAAGATTATTTCCTTGTATAAATCTGTTTGTGTTTTTTTTTTTTTTTAATTTACGTTGAGAATGAAACATACATCTGACTTCTGTTTTCTAGATAAAACTCTTTTACTTGGTGTTTACTCAGAAGTTTTCTGAAGTGAATTGCTGCTATTAATTTGCATGTCTTGAGTAATGTAAACAGATTTAAGTGGATATTTGTAGAAACCAATTTTAAAATGTAATAGTATGGGATTTAAAACTTTATTTTGATTGTGGAAATTGGATTTCTTTGTCTTGTTGAAAGCAGTTAAATATAGTTTATTTTAATTTGCTTAACATTAGCATCCTGAGGTACCAGTTTTGATCAGGCCACCTGATAGTAGGCACTATACATCACAAACACTGAGATTCAAGGCGTTCTCAGTCTAAAACACCAGTCCTACAGCGACACACTCACACATGCATAATGTTACACGTGTCCGTGTGAGTAGTCCTCTTAAACTTGGTTGTACTAGTCATATGAGTGATGGTAAGTACATGTGTAATTCTGCAGGAATAAATCAGGACCTAACTTGTGACTTGACAAGTGGGCGCAGCAAACACTTGGAAGAAATAGTGGGGCATATGGAGTACAAGAGTAGTAATGAAAAGTTTGTATATGGGCCTTATTCAGAATTCATGTAAATAAGTGGAAAGACTGCCAATGACTTATCCGGTTTTAGATTTTGATTCTCAATTCATAGCTAGGAGTTTCTGAGTAAAATTTTTAAAAAGTAAATTGTTGGACATAAACACCATAGGTATCCAAAATCTCTTCAGGCCACCTATTTAGCGCTAGGTCATAGACTTCCAAGATAACAAAGTTTGGCTGCAATGGTTGAGAAATGAACAGTGCAGAAATACAAAGGATTAAATGTGTATAAACTTACAAAAACCTATGTACATTTAGCAATAATAGCATCAATCTGAAGTTAGTTGAATTTAAAAGAAAAAAAAATGGATTTTTTTTAATTCACAATCTGAAGTTAGTTGAATTTAAAAGAAAAAAAATGGATTTTTTTAAATTGTTTCAGAAACTAGATACTATTAAGGTGCTGGGAACTTTCACAGAATTTTAAAGAAATTAAACATTTTAATGCTGGGCTTACTAAGGACTGAATTTAATTAAAATTCACTTTTTCTATTGTCACTTTTTAAAATTCAGATTAGTAATGTGGGCCCATTGGGCTTACTAAGGACTGAATTTAATTAAAATTCGCTTTTTCTATTGTCATTTTTTAAAATTCAGGTTAGTAATGTGGGCCCACTTAAGAGTCCTCTAGGAGCCTAATATCTTTATGGATCTGTGCTGTAAACACTGCATCCAAAACACTTCAATATTTTATCAAATGCTGGTGACTCAAATGAATTACAGCTAAGAAACTTGTTCACTATCACTCTGAAATCTTATCTCTGTTTCTTACATGGCTCCTGTTTTGTTGTTCTCCCCCCCCCCCCCATGAAGTCATATAACATCACAACATTTCCTTCTTCTGTTAGTGTAGCAACCACAAAATATTTCCTCTCTGTCCCTACAACTGTAAGAGTAAGACCCAGTTTCTCATAGTAATCCTGTATGTGGGGGGGAGGGTACTTTCAGGCTTCCACTTAAAATTCTGCTTTCTTCCTCCCCCAGTCTTCAAATTCTACATAGTCAAAATTGAGCAATTCTCCCATACTTCCCCCTCCCCTTCCCCCCACCACACACACCATATTTTTTGGCTTCCTAAATTCAATCATATCGAAAATCCTGAGGGCAGTTTATCACATTATGAAATACAGACAGCTCTGCAAACCACCTACTTATTATATTTTCTTTCTTTTTTTTCCCCCCCCTTAAGCACAGAGGCATATCTGTCTTTATTTGTTTTCCTAGGCAGACAGCCTTGGTTCCTCTTAGCTTCTTTTCCAGATATACTCACTGGATGCCCTTGTAATGGAAAGCAGGCAATAATGCAGTGAAGTTGCCCTGTGGCGTAATTGGGCCTAGTTCTCAAGATCAAGTTAGGCTTATTCACTTATTAGATTTGCGTCTCAGAGGGTTCAAGAGTAGGACTCCCTGGAGTCCTTGCAAGTACCCTAGTAATTGGTGGCCCTGATACTTGAGACCTTTGTGTATTTTTCTGTTAAAGCTTCTGTTCTTCTTGGCTGCTCCCAGCCACAGAGTATTTATTTTTAGAGAAATTTTTCATTGGAACAAAAATGATGGCTGTGATGGAGTCATGACTCTGTGACTTAGCAAATTGATAAAAGGATAAACGCACATAGCAGTGACAGTGTGGGTGCATGTGTGATGGCAAGGGTAGGGGGGAAGTGATAGTTTCTTTTCCCATCCCTCCTGTGATGCTCATCATCAGTCATCCTGTGTTGATTTTGATAGAAGACTATTAAAGTGAAACCTATGGGGAATTTGTCATTCTGAAAGGAAAGCTAATGTAATTAGTACCAATTAAAGTACATTTAGTAAATTGGATTTAATCTTAATTAAGCCTGCATAATGTTGCCAATTTTTAACAATTATGTTTGAGAACATAATTAATTTAAATTTTGGTAACTGAGTCAATAACATTAGACTGGTAGAATTAGTCATTTATATATTTTTTAGAAGAAGTGAGGGGGATGTTGAGACATGGCATTACAGCCTAAAATAGTAGTCTAATTTCTGGTAATCTCTAGCCGGATCAATAGAGCTCATCAAACAAATTTAGAAGAAACAGCAGAAAAGTTAGATGGGATTGTGGATTGCCACATGAAACTATAATTCCTTAGACCGTTAAGTCCTAGTATTAGAATAAAGGTGGAAAATGGAGTATGATTTGGAAATGTTTGTTTCTTGCTAAATTGTTGTAGCATGGAGGTTTTTTTTTTTTTTAATAAAAAGTTAAATGGCTTGTGTGTATCCATTTATGTGCTCTTATTTTTGTGCTTTTTTTGTTTTTGTTTTTGCTGGTCATCTGATCTAATTTTTAGAGTTAGGGTTTTGAAATCACATGGTCAAGAGTTTATTTCAATTAGTGTAATCAGACATGAATTCTGATGGATTTTAATCCAATGTGAGTGATTATTATTTAAAATTAAGTATTAACATTTGGCTAGAGACACAAGCATTTATGAATGGAACTGGTGGGGAAGATAATCAGGTTAAAATATCTCACTTTAATATTTTTAGAGTTGGTGACTATGAATTGGGGTGCCTTCCAGTTACAATTCTGCTGTTTTAAAGGAATTCTGAGGGTAAAAAGGTGATATCACAGCATGTTTTAAAAGAAAGTTCAGCTCTAAAGAAGCTGGGTATTAAAATGAAATGACTTAAAACAAATCACTATAGGTTGTCCGTCTTCCTCCTGAGCCCCGATTTCACTCAAATCCATGTAAATTTTATTATAAGACTTGGGCAACAACCGTTTGAGTGCTGCTAAAATATTAATTGAATAGAAATGAAAGGGCTCTACTAGCTGATGGGATATCATAATCATAGCTGCAGTAGTCGATGGTAAATGATGATAAATGACATTAGGAACCTTTTAGCAAACTGTAATAACTATGAGAAGGGAAGCAATATGGATTTGCATTATATCTGATACCCTCTAGTACCAAGTGGATTGCCGATACTGCTTGTTTAGCATTTTCTAAGGGCAATAGGATATTGATTTCTGACTTACAAGGAACAGCTCTATTTTCACCATTGAAAAGTATTGCAGGTTGTTAAGAAGAAATTGACTTGAAGAGGCCTGACTGCTGCCCATCATGGAGCAAATAAAGCAAAGCTGCCGAAGCATGGTGGAGCAGCGAGATGGGGCCCTCAGCAATTTGTTGCTATTAATTTACCATGCTTGACAGCAAATCAATCGGCATCTACTTCATCTGCTGGAGAAAATGCTGTCCAGGGCAGATAAAAGGCCCTGTGTGGTACAGGGAATAGAGTGGATTGGCCAAATGGAGGCTGCAGTTAATGTGTAAATAAGTGAAATCAAGGCCACTGTTGCAGAGAAAGCTGTTTTTAATTAGGTTGGGGCTTTATAGTGAGCTATTTAAGAAAGTGTAGAGCTTGGCGAGTAAGAGGAGATTTATTGCCAACTGAGTTAATATATGGATTGTATGACATACTAGCCTTGAGTCTGCTTGCTTCTTGCACCTTAGTAAATTATTTCAGTAAAAAGGTAAAGATAGGAATCTATTTGTTTAATTTAGGCCTAAATTGTGACTGTTTTTCATCATCTTGGCCATAAAATGCATGTATCACTGAAAATTGTTTTGTGTATATGCTACATCTATAACAGGAAAGTGTTTTTAAGGTGGGGACCTGGACACTGTTTGTATACACATATCTAAATAAAATGTTAGGA